GAAACAAATAAATAATACTAATGGTTTGAGTGCCAGGGCAAAATGATGCAACCGTACAACTTGGTATGGAATTCTGATTCATAAAGCACACTACATAATTTACCTGTATCGTTGTCTTGAGCAGGATTTTTTCCCGAGACATTAATAGTTTTATTGCCACATACAATATCTGTCCAAGGAGTGCCTAAAAAATTATAATGTAAATAGAATTACTTCAAATGAAAAAAAAAAACAGTTGAGGAGAATTGGATAGATGAAAGATTGTAAATGTGACAAAAAGATAATCTAAAGAGAGGTGAGGGTGAAGGATATATGAAGAAAGATAGATGAAAGATAAGATAAGTTGCAGTAGGATAGATGAAAGACAGGCTAGGTGATGAAAACCTGGTGAATATGAAGGATAGAATCAAAAAAAGGATAAATGAATGTTATGATGAAAAGTAGATGAAAGACAGATGAAGGTAAAGAATGATAGATGAAAGTAAAGAAGGGTAGATGAAAGTAAAGAATGATAGATAAATGTAAAGAAAGATAGATGAAGATAAAGAAGGGTAGATGAAAGATAGATGAAGATAAAGAATGATAGATGAAGTTAAAGAAAGATAGATGAAGATAAAGAATGATAGATGAATGTAAAGAATGAGAGATGAAGGTAAAGAAGGGTAGATGAAAGACAGATAAAGGTAAAGAATGATAGATGAATGTAAAGAAAGATAGATGAATGTAAAGAAAGATAGATGAATGTAAAGAATGATAGATGAAGGTAAAGAATGATAGATGAAGATAAAGAAGGGTAGATGAAAGACAGATGAATGTAAAGAATGATAGATGAAGGTAAAGAAAGATAGATGAATGTAAAGAAAGATAGATGAAAGACAGATAAAGGTAAAGAATGATAGATGAAAGTAAAGAATGATAGATGAAAGTAAAGAAAGATAGATGAATGTAAAGAAAGATAGATGAAGATAAAGAATGATAGATGAAGATAAAGAAGGCTAGATGAAAGTAAAGAAAGGTAGATGAAAGATAGATGAAGGTAAAGAATGATAGATGAATGTAGAGAATGAGAGATGAAGGTAATGAAGGGTAGATGTAAGACAGTTGAAGGTAGAGAATGAGAGATGAAGGTAATGAAGGGTAGATGAAAGACAGTTGAAGGTAAAGAATGATAGATGAAGATAAAGAAGGGTAGATGAAAGACAGATAAAGGTAAAGAATGAGAGATGAAGATAAAGAAGGGTAGATGAAAGACAGATAAAGGTAAAGAATGATAGATGAAGATAAAGAAGGGTAGATGAAAGACAGATAATGGTAAAGAATGAGAGATGAAGATAAAGAAGGGTAGATGAAAGACAGATAAAGGTAAAGAATGATAGATGAAGATAAAGAAGGGTAGATGAAAGACAGATAAAGGTAAAGAATGAGAGATGAAGATAAAGAAGGGTAGATGAAGGTAAAGAATGATAGATGAAGATAAAGAAGGGTAGATGAAAGACAGATGAAGGTAAAGAATGATAGATGAAAGTAAAGAAGGCTAGATGAAAGTAAAGAATGATAGATGAAGATAAAGAAGGGTAGATGAAGATAAAGAATGATAGATGAAGGTAAAGAAAGATAGATGAAGATAAAGAAGGGTAGATGAAAGATAGATGAAGATAAAGAATGATAGATGAAAGTAAAGAAAGATAGATGAAGATAAAGAAGGGTAGATGAAGATAAAGAATGATAGATGAAAGACAGATAAAGGTAAAGAATGAGAGATGAAAG